CTTCTTCTTCTTCTTCTTCTTCTTCTTCTTCTTCTTCTTCTTCTTCTTCTTGTCAAGGTTTGCCAACTTGAAGGTGGTGGGTGGTCCCTGGAGATCTCGGATCTCACAGGTTTACCCCCACCTGAGGGTGTATATTATCTAACTTAAAGTCGACTGTGTACGGACTCCTGGTTTTGTAAATTTTCAGGGGCCTTCCCTACCTGCCTCTGCCCCGGGGGTTTGTGAGGGTTCATTTGATAATGTAGGGCCCGACGCACCCAGCTATTTTTCTTTGTTTTTAGCCCCTTTTTCTCCTGCTGTCTTTTACGTGCTGTCTTTTTCTCGTGCTGCCCTTTTTGTTCTGTGGGGCTTGCCCGCAAGGGTGGACCTCTCCTGGCACATGGTTGCAACTGCGAGAGAATAAGTAAAAAAGAAAAAAAATAGAATAGGAATTTTTTCAGTCTTAGAATTTATGGGTCCCATGGTATGGCAGGCTTCCAGCAGGTGATGCTCCCCACCAATAGATGGAGCCTCCCCCCGGGTGCTTGTGGTGTCTGGCCCAGTCAGTACCACTAGCACTGCAGGGGTGTGTGTGTGTTTTCAAAAAAAAAAAAAAAAAAAAGGCTTCCTAACTGTTTGGTGGAGAACGGACCTGCCTGAGCAGTAAGGCTCGGTACTGGGCTGTGTTTGGTTAATTTCCGCACGAATGTGGGCACCGGGCCTGGCCAGGTACAGGATGTCCCATACATGTTTTGGGCGCTGGTGATTTGAAGGCCCACTACGGATCTGTGGACGTATCCAGTTACAGGAAATGTACTTTGGGCACTAAGTATCGAGGCACACCTGTGAGAGCACGCATATATAGTACGGGGGCAAGGTCCCACTTGCGCAAACTAGGAGATTTCGGTCGTTGATCTTTGCTATCTACGGTCAGTATCTCTTAATTCGTGTAAGTGGGACCTAGCCCCGGGGCTGCTCCCACTTCCGCCTCTGTGCACGCATGGAGGCGTGACGCGCATCAGCGGTTGCGGAACGCCGAGTGGATTGGGTTTACTGCTATGACTGTACAGGTAGGGATGATGCAATGCGGGGACATGATACCGGATCTTGACGCGATCGATCGTGGACATGGAGGATGGACTTGTGCAGAAGGTACGGGGAACAGGGAGAGAAGGTGGAAGGACAGAGGGAAGAGAGGGAGATTGGAAGAAAATATAAGGATGAAAGAGATGCTGTGCATCCCGATAGTCGTTTTTGGTTATCCTCCTGATGAGGCTTGGTGCACGCACAAGCCGAAACACGTCGAGGATTGCGTGTGTTTTTTTATGGTGTATGGTTGGTGATCTGTAGGAATATCTGCCCTCCCTGGGACAGTGTACTCTGCTGTTCGTGGTTTTTCCCCAATTTTCTTTGTGTTCTCTTCTTCTTCTTCTTCTTCTTCTTCTTCTTCTTCTTCTTCTTCTTCTTCTTCGTTTCTTTGTTTCTTCTTCGTTTCTGTGCGTCTTCTTCTTCGTTTCGTCTCATTCTTCTTCTTCTTCTTCTTCTCCTCCGTTTCGTCATGTTATTTTCTTTCTTCGTCTTCTTCTTTTTCTTCTTTGTCATTTCTTCTTCTTCTTCTATATCTTCTTATTCTTCATCATTTCTCCTTTCCCTTCTACATCATCTTCCTCTTCCTCCCCTTCTTACTCCATTCAGTTCCTCTTGGACGCCATAGTCATCTTCTTCTTCTTTCTTTCTTCTCCTTCGTTAAGAGTTGTGCTCCTTGTTATCACCCCCTCTAGTAGAGGTCGCTGGTTGGGGGGGGGGGGGGGGGAGAAAAAAAATCCTAATAGCCTCCTACCTCCGCCTACCTCCTCATACCTCCTACCTATGTTTAAATTCTGCTCCTACCTCCGCGTACCTCCGGCCATAGTCCTCCCTCCTCCCTCCCGCCATAGTCCTCCGTTCTCCATCCCGCTATTGACATCCCTCACGCCATAGTCTTCCTCCTCCCTTCTACCAGAGTCCTGCCATAGTCCTCCCTCCTCCCTCCCTGCCCGCCATATCTCCTTTCCCCCCTCCTCCCTCCTCCCTTCTTCGACGTGGCACCCCTCCCTCCTCCTCCCGCTGCCAGATCGCCTCACTCCCTCCCTGTCCGCCATAGCTCCCCTTCTCCCTCCTCCCTCCTTCGATGGGGCACCCCTCCCTCCTCCTCCCTCCCGCCAGATCGGACAACCCATAATCCACCCCTCTCCTCCACCCCCTCCCCTCACCCACCCCAAAACACAGAAACTCATATGCATGAAAATTCAAAATGAGGCCGGTTGTGGCCAGTACTAGGAAAGCGCAGCAAGGTGCTGCAGTTAAAAAAAAAAGAAAAAAAGAAAAAAAGAAAAAGGGGCAGTGGATTTTTTTCATGCCCGGGTACCCCAGGCGAGGTCCCTACCCAGGCCAGGCGCCCCCGGAAAGCTAGCTGCGCACAGAGTTTTGCCTGGGTCCAATTGTATTTTCTTTCCTGGGGCGTGGTCCCACTAGCAAAGAGGATCGGATCGAATGCCAGAATCTGGACGTGTTTGTCGAGAGGTGCAGGAAATCGGGTGTCAGACAGGTTCATTACGAATTTCTGGGCTGAGAAAACAGGAGAAAGGCCAAAAAAAAAAAAAGAAACAGAGACCTCCCACCCGAAATCAGGGCAGAGTGCTTCCCAGCCATCAGATCACAAATGATCTGATGGTGGTGGTTGCAACAGCAGTGAACAAAGTAACCGCCCCATTTTCTGGAATGAACTTGACTTCTGTCAGCACTGATCCTGACACCCTCCATCGATATATATATATATAGGGGTTCAGCCTCCTGATGAGTCGGTGAAACTCCGACGAAACAGTTTGTCACAGCCCCTCGTTTGTTGTCCTCTTCTCTCTCTCTGCCTACGGTTTACCGGGCAGTTCTGTTTGTGACGACAGTTCTGTTTGTGACGATATATATATATATACTCCGTGATTGAAGGAGGGCTCCACCCCCAATGAGATAATTGCACAACAGCAAGTAAAATACTGAAAATATTCTATCCAGTGGGCCTAAGGCCAACCCCACCCTCCTTTGGGCTTGGCCACACCCCCAACCGATTGAAAATATTCTGGCAGGAAACTTTCTTTGCACGGGCATGCCCAGTGTTAAGGAGAGGACGAGGGGAACGAAGATTTCCTTACTTCTTCGGGTAATACATGTAAAATACTGACTGTGGGATCAGTCACGAGTAGTGCACGGCAGGATTTGGGTCACTCAACTGCCCCACAAACTCGTTTCTATCCTATCCCGTTGCTTGCTAGTGGGACCTCGCCCCCGGCGTCGAAGACTCCGTCTATTGGTGGGGAGCTACACCTGCTGGAAAATTTGGGTCCGACGTCCCTGTACAATGATGAAAATTTATCTGCTGGAAATCAGAGGCCCAGCGTCCCTGTGCAATGGTGTGAATGTGTGTGCTGGAAAACTGGGCCAGCGTCCCTATTCATCTGATCTATAGAATCTCCAAAATAAACTGAGGCATCAATCCAATCAGACGAAGCCCTAACCATGATGTGATGTGTATTACAATTCTGTGACTTGTATCAGCTGAAAATCTGGTCTATGAGGAGCTACTGAGACTGTGCCATCAGTGAGGGTGTCTGTCCCATCCAGAATTAATGAAGAACAAACAAATAAAAAAGAAGCATCCCTTATGCTGTGATTCCTGTCCCGTACAGGACCCTGCAGCACAAGTGTGAGTAAGGGCCTGGCCACACCACCCTCCAAATGAAAAACGAACGAATGCATCTTCCCGCGGAGGAGGGCAAGATGCATCCGTTACTATGAATAGCAATGGATGCATCTTACCACTTTCTGTGGCAGATGCATTCTTCCCTCGGAGGAGGGCAAGATGCATCGGTTACTATGAATAGCAATGGATGCATCTTACCACTTTCTGTGGCAGATGCATTCCTTCTGTTTTCGTTTCCACAGTGGCGTGGCGAGGGCCGTAAGAGGGGTTGAGGCAGTTTGTTGCCCCTCACCCTACCTCTCTGGCCAGTTTGGCGCAAAAAGCAAGCCCACATAACAAAAGAAACAACAACAACAACAACAACAACAGAAGCAATCACCTTCCACACATACTGGCCAGATACATTCCTCAAAACACATGTGTCGCTTCCACCTCTGTGAGGGCCGGCCTTCTTCGAACTGCTTATTTTTTTTTATTCCTTTTTTTTTTCAACGTGAGCCCGCAGTGTCCTATTCTTTTCTTTTCTTTTCCTTTCCTGCCGAGCCTCCAGCAGGGGGGCCAAGTCCCACTAGCGGCGTTGAGCTACCTCAACGCCTGAATGTGGACCCTTTGGCGGAGATGTGCAGAAATGGTGTTGAGTTTCCTGAACTGCACGTCTCCACAAACACGTCCAGATTCAGGTGGCGTTGAGGTAGCTCATCGCTGCCAGTTGGACTTGGCCCCGTCCAAAGTTTGCGGTATATCCTTTTTTTTGTTTTTTTTTTGTTTTTTGGACCATTTCTCGATTTACGTGTGTCATCCTTGAAAGCGCAGAGGCCATGCTAATCTTCTTCTTTCTCTGTGTCGTTCCAACGGTCGTCCCCAAGGACAGTTTGCGGTATATCCTATTTTCCCACTTTTCCCAACACTGAGAAAAAGCTATAAAAAAAAATAAAAATAAAAATAAAAAAGCTAATGGTGGTTTTTCAATTTTAAGTAAAACATTCACATTATGCAATGAAGTTGAATGAACCCATTCAGGATAGAAGCCTGTCAATGTCCAGGTTCAGAATGTCTCAGCGCAGTCACATTGTCCCCAAAATGGTGACACTGTGGTAAATCCTGAACTTGTTACCTCCTTGGTGATGGTGAAAAAAGAAAAGATTCCCAGTGTTCCCACAATGGTGAAAAAAACTTCAAAAAAGAAAAGAAAGTTGCACTGCTGGAACCATTTTGGAGACGATGTCACGGTTCAGAATGTCTCGGCGCAGTCAATGATAATGGTGACAACGGTGGTAATGTTGACGCTGACGTGGTGACATGATGGTGACATACCTTCCGTTGCCTATATTTGGTTCAAAACCAAAGTGCATGATTTGAGTAATTTGTATCTTTTTTTGCATTGGATAAGATAACACCTGTAATCAAAATACAAACTCCTCCATGTGACAAAATCATATTCATTGGTGGAGAAGGTTTGAGTGACATGATGGTGACATGACATGAGGGTGACATGCTGACGTGGCAGGATACGCTGCAATTGCCGAGCTGCACGACACCTTGTGAGGATAGCCAACCAAGCTTCACCTGTGGGGGTGCGGAGAGCAAGCAGCCGCTGGAGACAAATGATGTCCTCTGCCCGAAGGTGACGTCGAAGGATGCCGAGAGCCGGGTTTGCTGTGGAGCTTCTTGTTTCGAACAAAACTCAGCAGGACGTGTGTGGAAATGTTGCGTGAGGGAGAATTTCATGCTTCAGGTCACCGTTACTCTAGTTGTCATCACCCTGTTAAGCAAGCCTGGCCCTTTCTTGCGGCGGCAGCATTTAATTGATGGAGGAGGATATCAGTAACCTTGCGGGAGGAGAAAATAAACAAATCATTTTTGAAGTATTAAACAAATAAATAAAGGATTTTGATATCCCACCGGGAGCAAAACTTTTTCTTGTTAAGTTGAAGAAGGCTGTTAAAGTTTGTGAAACAACAGCAGGCAATATCAGAAGTGAGAATGCTGACATGAGTAACAAAAAATCAGGTGAAAAACATGATCCGGCAAATGCCAGCAGTCGCCAACAGGCCACTTCCAGATTTATTTATTTATTTATTTATTTTTTTCACTTCCGGAATTTTCCCATGCTCTTGCCGTCTTTTTTCCATTCTTTTTTCCCAAAAACTTTCTGGTGTCCCCCCGGCGCCATCCTGGGTTCCATCCAAGGTTCCCTTGGCCGATGCAGGGTCCACGGCTGAGAGGCTCCATTCTATTCGAGGGGAGCAACACGTGCTGGGAACCGTGCCCAGCATCCCATAATACAATAAGAAAAACTGCAATATGTAGAGTCGAGTTTAGAAAAAAAAAAAAAAAAAAAAAAAAAAAAAAAAAAAAAAAAAAAGAAAAGAAAAGAAAAGAAAAAAAGAAAGAAAGAGAGCATCAGGACAGCATTGATTGCCGTGGGGCCTCCACAAGGGGATGCACTGCCGGTAAGAGGGAACAGATTGCTGCCTCGTCAATGCGATTGGGATCCCTTGCCATCTGTTACGATCGTTGTATCTGGTCGAATCACGTAACATCTTGTCGGGGAATGGAAAGTGGGGTCATTACAGAAAGTGGGGTCATCATAGTATTAGGGGGAAACTAGGGCGCAGTCACGAAAGCAGTTTGTAAATGCATTTCGAACTCGTCTGCCTTCTTGGAGTCGAGGTACCGTCCCAAGTTTCAACTGCAGTAGAAACACTTCACACGCATAAAAGTCGCAACGCCGAGTTTGCAACTGCAGTCCAGTTTGGCATGTGTGGCCTCCTCGTTTTTTTTTCTTTTTTTTTTYTTTTTTTTTYTTTTTTTTCTTTTTTGGTTCTCGGACGTGGCCAAGGCATTGCAGCCGTGTCCCAGCCACGCGGCGAGATGCTCTCTCTCCTTTTTTTTTTTTTTTTTTTTTT